TCACATGTAGGCCTCTTCCCAGCAGTGTAATCCCGCCTTTTATTTCAGTCATGAGCCTTCAGATTGTCTGTGAACATGGATATGACACTTCCGAGTGGGAGCAAGCTGTTCTTTATTGCTGCTGTGGCGATTAAGCCAGTACGTTTCCCTTCCAGTATCCTTCCTTTGACATTTCCATTCCAGTCTAACACAGGCCTTTGCTGTTGCCTTGGCTAATGCCTTGCATTTATTTTTTAAACCAGCTGCTGTGATTACAAGGGGCCTCTAGCTCATGACAGCAGAATCAAGGAAAACAATGCAGGAAGCTAGTTTGTCTCAAAAATGCGGCATTACGCCCTGCAACACCAAAGCTCCTTGCTGTCTGCTGCCGCCTTATCTGGAAACAGCGTGGCAGTTGTAGGAATTTACTCCTCACATGGAGGATTATACAGTGTTGAGGAGAGATCATCTCAGCAGGATGGCTTTGCAGGACGTCGGCAGGGCGGCTTCCCGGCCCAGGAGGAGCTGTGCTCGGCGTGACCCGGGGATGCACAGGGCCAGGGCACTCCTGAGCTTTGCATCAGCGTTTCCCTGTGGCCTCTCTGGCTGTTGTCCATGCCAAAGTCCCACTGCTCCATGGGCACAGCAGGGTGAGCCCAGCAATAAAACTGTATCAAGCAAGCGAGCAGCAAGGCAGCTTTCGGGGTGAGGTGGTAGGTGAGACTGGCAGGCGCAGGATTTCTGGTAATGAGGGCAACAGTAGGTTTGGTCAGTCTTTGATGACAATTTGTCTTTTAACACAGGGGGTGAGATTTCTCCTTCCGGACGTGTGCTGGGGGTGCTCATGTCTGTGCTTCTCACCCTGGGGTCCTTTTTGAAGCTGAAGGAGAGAAATAGAAGTAGCTTTTTCCTGGGGTCAAGGCTTCCTGAGGTGAGCAGCAAAGGCAAGGGACGTGCATCTCCAGCAACTCTGAACAGAGTCTGGGGTCCCAGCTCAAACATAAAAAGTTGCATGTAAGTACCTAAAGGTCAGTGAGCAGAAGCTCCCCACTACCACTCTGTGTCCCTGGGACTCAGCACTCTGCCAGGTTATTAGAGCCAGACGCACGCACATTCATCTCACAGGGAAGTACCAGAGCATCGTCAGGGCCTCCTCCAGCTGGATGTCTTGGAGGTTCATGGAAGATATACACTCTGTAAGTACATAAGGTTGCTTGCTGTTAACTGTGCCATTATTTAAGATAGGCCAGGGTCTCTCACTCTTGCAGGTATATGGCTCAGGAGGTCTTTGAAAGGTGCCCAGTGAGTCTAAACAATGATGAGCAGCACTGCATACTCCATGTGAGCGGGGAGAGGGAGCCTGCAGAGGACCATGACCAACAGGGGCTGGCTGTGTGCACACCACGACAGCCCTGCTCAGCTCCACTTGCTGGGAAACTCGCTCTGAGGGCAAGTGCCAGGAGCACAAAGGAGCGCTGGTTTACAGGATCCTGGCTTGCTTTCTTTGCAAAGCACACCTCTGGCATTTCTGCCCACATTAGCAAACAGCAGGGATCTGGTCCCAGAGATGAACCCCACAAAGAGAAGAGTCTGCAGCCTCCAGGCATCTGGTAACCCTCCTTTTCACCCCAGATGAGCTAGAGCTAGCTGTGCAGCAGGACTGGCTCACCGAAGCCTGGATAAATGGAGACAGAAATTGTATTTTAAACCTACCCTGTAAAACTTCAAGGAACTGACTCCGGCTCCCTGTCTGTCCCATTGCTTTGGGAGACTTGGGGTCAGGCCTTAGACTAGGGTCCATAGTGCTGTGTTGGGCTCCAAAGGGCGCTGAATGCTGTCAGGCTGCCCTCCAGATAGGGTGGTTTTTGTCTTTCTTACAAAGTAACATTTTCCTTAGCGGATGAGATTGTTGAAATTCAGAGGCAGGCTCTCCTGGGGCAGTCTGGCATGCATGGAGCACCACAGGACACAAGCTCTGGCTTTGCCAAAGAGTATCCATAAAACATCAGGATACTCATTGGGTACAGTGTACCCTTGTGGGCAAAGCTGAAATTACCAGACAGAAGGAGCAACTGTGTCCAAAATGTTCTATCAAAATATTTAAAGTTGAAGGTTGTTTTTTTCTGGAGTGATTTTGTTCCCTGACTGTTTTGGGATTAGGATGTAGGTTATATCACAGTCCTGTCTCGCTTCCCAGAACTATTTATCTACCGTTATTCACTGACAACTCTCTTCATCAAACACCTCCTCATAGGGCTTCACAAGCTGTGTTATGGCACCAAGGAAAAATCAGTTTCCTCAATAAGCAGTAGCAAACCTGGGGATACAATTAATTAGGAGGGGGTTATTGTACGGTTATATACTATTGTATATAGTCATCCTGGCGCATGAAACATATCACATTTCCCCTAATGCTCCTCAGACTTCACTGAAGATGCCAAGTCCCAGCAAGCCATCTAACCCATCTGCTACCCCAACAAAGAGTCCACGGTTACAGCCGTTCTGGAGAGTGGTGCTGGCTGTGCGTGTGGGTACCTGTCTGGTAGCACCCTCCACAGTCCTGGGGTCCTCGGGAAGAAGCTCCCTTACAGCCCGTGCTGGATGGGGAAACCTCTGCCATAAAGAGCCAGCCTACAAGGAGCAATTCAGACTTGGTGAAACCAGCCAAAATAGCTAAAAGGAAGCTTTATTGTATAGGCCAGTGAGAGGAGACTCCCAAAGGGGGAACACAGCTCAGGCCAAGGCTGTTCTTCGGGGCATCATGGCACTACACTGGGTGTGTCAGGAATGGGGGCCAATGCCAGGCTGTGCTACCATACAGGTCCAGGGGTATCTGCTAAACAAGAATCAGGCCCACAGTACGGTAAAGCACATGTTCCTACTGTATGTGAAATAGTGATACCTGATTCTATATGTGGGGAATCGATTTTTGGCAGGAGAAACTTTTTTTTACCCAGAATGAATCCCAACATAAATTCAATTTTAGTCCTTTCATTTGACTATGGCCTTCCTGTCCCTCTCATGCTAATCTTACTTGACATCATTTAATTTAAACTGTGCCTGCATTTTTTTGTTTTCAGAGCATTAGACTGGCTGCCTGTGACATGCTGGCAGTCAAACCCTCCCTGGTGTCTTGGGAAGCAGGTTTAAGCCTCTAGTGAAGTTCGGGACTGGGTTTTTCAATGTGTCTCTGCATCCCCGCACACTGCCTGTGTCCCCTGTGGCAAGTGGCTGGTACAGACTGTGCTGTGCAGGGCTAAAGGCCTGACTTGAAGTGGGTGTAGTGTTTGGGGAAGGGGAGAGTGGATCCAGGGCGTGTGCCGAGCAGAGGGAAGTCAGGCTGCGGTTTCTGGTGCAGAGGGGTAGGTAGCTCCTTTACTGTTACAGAGGCAGTTAACGGGTTTGCAAGGGAATAGGCTGCTGCCAGCAGGTAATTTCATAGAGGACAAGGGACGCTGCTGTGCTGGCTGTGACACTGAGTGACACGCTACAGAACCAGTGGCTCGAATGAGTGTCCATGTACAGCAGCCAAAGACCAGGGTTGTCACATCTAGAGATGGGCAAGTTCTGTGCAGCCATGACTCAGTATGAGAGACTGGCAGGCGACAAAACCCAGCAAACACAAAAGATGCGTTTCCTCTACCCTGCAGCTTTGTACCTGCTGCAGCAGAGGGGGTGTAGACAGACGCAGGGTTAGTAATGGGGGAAATCTTTAGGTAATCACCTGATACAGACCCATCTTCTGAGAAAGTGTATCAAAATCACACTTTCATCAGACTCCAAATAATGAGCCTTACATACCCAGGCTCAGGAAACAAACAGCTTGAAATTCAAGGCAGCAGTGAAAACCTATTTGGCATTCCTTATCAGAGGAAAATTTAATTTTGCTCAAATCTTGCCAAAGCACCTCATTAAAATACTTCAGGGCTTCGGGTTTTGCAGGTTTGAAAGCAAGCAAAGCCAGCACAGGCTATGGCACCACCAGTGACTGCCACTGCACACTTCAGCAGGCTGCGCCCTCCCCCTTGCAGGCTGCTGCATTTCTTCTTTGCGTTATTGAATTTCTGTGCAGCCAGCACAGCCAGCAGCTGCCAGCACAGCCAGGGACTCCCAGCTCTGCTGCCCAGCAGAAGTGGGTTGCATGCAGGCTTCCCCTTGCAACACCTCCACAGAGGTGACCCGGGCAGCCCCATCCCGGCCCCCACCCTCTGCCTGCCCAGAGCCGTGCCAGCAGGGCCAGGCTGCACCCGTCACCTCCTCTGTCCCCTTTTGCCTGACAATGCCTCCAGGACACAAATAAATTGCAGGAGTTTCCTTGTCCTGCACCAGGGCCGTACCTGCTCCAGCTGCCTCCTGCTTGGGGCTTTGCAGCATCCCCAGCCCTTGTGGTATGCGTGAGCTCCTGACTCCACACTGCTGATCCAACTGACCCAGCATGTCCCCAGGTGCTACCATGCCATGTCCCAGTGCATGTCCTTGCCCCAGCACAAGTGGGCAGCTGCCAGCTGCCTCCTCCTGCCTCTGCTGCTGCTGGGGGGCTTGAGCAAGGTCCCACCCCTTAGGTGGAAAAACCCCAAACCAGGCTCCCCTGAGGGTTCTTCCAAGCCCTGTGCCCAAGCCTCTCACAGATGGGCACTAGAGTCCCATGGCTGCAGCAGGAGCTGGGAGCAAAAGGCTTTGCTGCCAGCCCTGGCCCTTCAGCATCCCAGTGCCCACAGGGGTGAAAGGAGGAGGATGACCCCACACTGTTTCAAGATATCCGCTGTGAAGGCACTCATGGCAAGGGTGAAATTTCACCTCTTCCCTCTCTTTTGTTGCTGTCCTTCCCATGTTTGCAGCCCCCCAAGCGTTCATGCGGCTGTTGCAACAGATGCTGAAACTTGTTTTTCTTCTCCTCTTTAACGTTTATGTCCCTCTTTCTCCAAAGGAGGAGAAGAGGAGCAAGAAAGAAAAGAAACCCATTTATTTGCAGACTGTGACTGGCTTGTGTAATAATGCTTGCATTTCTCTCCTTGTTTTAGGGAGTGCTGCCGATTTTTTGGAGACAATGGCTTGACTTTGAAGGTGTTTTTTACCAAGGCAGCACCCTTTGGTGTTCTTTGGACACTCACAAACTACCTTTACTTACATGCAATAAAGAAAATAAACACTACAGATGTCTCCGTGTTGTTCTGCTGCAACAAAGCTTTTGTGTTCTTGCTTTCATGGATCGTTCTGAGGGACAGGTTCATGGGAGTGAGGGTAAGTGACTCCTTATCTCTGTCTCCCTTTTCCCCCCTCACCCTTCTGCCTTTCCTTTTCCCCTTCCCTCCTGCTGGCTGAGTCGAGCAGCACCCCATGCAGACAGCTTAGCGGGCGCAGAAATCCTTCCAGAGCAGGGACACGTCCTTCCCAGCAGCCTGCCCAGGCCCCCATGAGCTCCCAGTGCCTCCAGTCTGCCTCAGCCTGCTGCCTTTGCTGATTTTCCTTCAGAAAAGAGGTAACTTGCTCCAGAGCATGTCACTAAGGATAGCTGCTATCTCCGTGTTGCTGTGGATGTGGATCAGCCTTTGCCTGCCCCTTCCCAGGTTGTGGCACCAGACATCGCTTTTTCCAATTGCAGATTCCTGCAAGCCTTGGCAGGAAGTAGTGCACTTCTGGTCCCAACCTGTAAATTTAGTGGGGCCCTTGCCTTTCTTACATGCAATAGCAGGTTTGCAGGGTGGCACAGATATCCTTTGCACTCCTGTCAGTCAGCAGCAGCTGCAGAGAGGGGGCTACCCATGCCCACCCATGGCCGAGGTGTGTGCATGCATGGCGTGGGGAGGATGGGTGTAACACCAGTGCAGCGGGACTTGTGTCTGGCCAGCAGCTACTGGCACAGGGCCAGGCAAGGTGGCAGGCAGCAGGGAGACACACCCACTCCCCCAGGCCTGCTCTCCTGGTGGCATCCCAAATGTTACACCCTTAGTCCAACACCCCTGTGAGCACCTGCTCCACGGCAGCAAGAGCCCACCCTGGCCAGCTGGTGTCTGCCCTTGCCCAGGCAGCTGTACCCTGAAAAACAAATTAACCAGGGTTTTGAGTACAGAAGCAAGGGCATCCTGAAATAATCCTGGAGGCAAGGAAGTGTTGCTGTTATCACAGGTGGATGTGCTGGCCATTTTGATAAAGGCTAAAAAAAAAAAAAAAAAGTGTATGTTTTGTGGTCTTCAGCCACCTTGTGGCACTGCTGGCTGTAGAGCTGGTGGGATGTCAGGACAGCAGGTGTGCAGCTTGCTCCTTGGTCTCCACCTGCTGCCCCTCACTGGTGGGTAGGGCTGAGGTCTGTGGAGAAAGAAGCCGACCTGCGCGTAGGGATGCCCACACAGGAACGCACACGCCAGAGCAGAGATGCCTCTTGTGCTCTCTGGGGTGCATGGCCATGCGTGGAGAGCTGGGGTGGCCAGGTGCTCTCCAGCAGCGTCCGCGCCGGGCTAGGTCTAGTGCCACGGCAAGGGCCAGGGCAGTGGGGGCCATGGGATGCTCCTGCCATGCATCCCAGCCCCTCACCGTGGCATCTGGCACTGGCAAAGGGTAGTAGGTTGAGGGAAGATGGCTTCCTGAGAAGGCACCTCCATGCCCAAGGAGGAACATGGCCATCTCCCGCCCTGGTGACAGGCCAGCAAGGGGCCTGGGCACAGGGGGAAGGGGTTTGCAGGAGGACTGAGCTGTTTGCTTAGTGGGGTGGATGTGGCGTCCTGACATGTGGCAAAATGTGAGTGAGGAGGTGCTTGTCCCTAGGGACTGGCAGGGCACGGAGCAGCACGGCAGTCCTGCCGCCCAGCTTCATGTGCCACCATGGGAGTGCTGGGGACTCCTCTTTGTGGAGGGATGTAGTGTGAAGTCTCTTGGCGAGATGCAAGCACTTAAATCACAATTTGGCTGGAATGTAGAGCAAGCTACCAAATCTCATCCTCGCCACCCAGGCAGTTGTGAGTGCCTGTGTCTCCTATAATGAAGTTGCATCCCCCTTTCCCTTCCCAGTGCCCAGAGCACAGTTTGTCCAGCTGAGCTGCAGGCTGTTGTGTTGCTTTCAGAGAAGACACACATGTAATGAAGCTGTGAGTGCCTGACGTGTTGCCTCTGCAAGCCCTGTGGTGCTGAGGCATTTGCAAGTGACTGCAGGCTGGTAGCTTTGGCGTGGTGCAGTGCAAGCAGCCTGTCACTGATGCTAACAATGTGCTTGACAGACAGGCTGAAAGGCTTCCAGAGGAAGCGTATGTGACACGCCTGGCGTGTCGACAGGCGAGGACAAGACTCATCTGACACTCATGTCATGCTTGATAGAAGAGGCAAGGACTTCTGCCCCAGCAAACTGTTTGCAGGCTGCATTTATTTGCTTTGATCTTGGACTTTGGCTTTTCCTTACACGCTACAGTAAGTAAAACATCTCAGGGTTCAAGAGAACCATTGCTTGCAAAGTACCTTCTGCGGAGTTGCAGCCACCAGCGGAGGCTCAGACAGTCTCACTTTGCCCACGCACACGGAGGTAGCGGCTGTTTGCCACAGCCTGACACATGTCTGTGGTCTTCCCCCAGCTCTCCAGGGAAGGCAGGACAAGCCCCATGTGTCTCGGATGGGAGACAGCCAAGCCTGAAGCAGATGCTACAGGAAACGCTGCCATCTACCACTCCCTTCTCTGTCCCCTGGTCTGTAGCACAGGGGACACTGAAGGGCTGGAGTTGCCCTTATCTTTCAGATAAGCCCTAGCCATGTATCTTGCAGCCCTACAAACAGCTATATTGAGTCAAAGCAAAGGTGCATCTGCCTGAGGAGCCTGGCTCCAGCAGCTGCCAGTAGTGGGCACCTAGAAAAATCGTCCAACCAGGAAAAGTCTGTAATGATACTTCCTCATGAGACTTTCCAGCCTCCAGCAATTTGAGGGTCAAGGACTTCCTGAGATGGAAGCGATGTTCCTATAGTTAGTAGTACTTGATGGATTTTTTCTTCCATGACTTTATCCTTGTAAACTTTTCACATCCACAGCATGCAACAGCAAAGATTTCCTTGGTTGAATTACATGTTCGGTGAAGACAAATCTCTTTTTTGTTGTTCTGCACCTGCCCCATGCTAGTCTCTAGTCTCATTCAATGACATTTTTTTCTTGTGCCTCTGAAGCCACAAAGTGTCTGAATTTTTATTTGACAAGCACCAGCATGCTGACATGAGAGAACTGCCGAGTGCTGCTGAGCTCCTTCTGTCCTGCCTATCTGAAACAGCCCCACGCTGCTGTGGAGCCACGCATTGGGGTTTTTTCTCCCCTTGCCTGTGCAAGACTGTAGAGTCCTGTTACACCACCGCCAAGCTTCACTTAGAAATGATGCACTACAGCTGTGCATGTGGAGAGATCTGTTGCAGGTGGAATTGCAGGCATTGATGTCAGTGGGCAGGAGAGATCTGCTTTGTGATGATCTGTGGAAGCTTTTACAGGTGCCCGCAGCACCAGCCCTGGCTCAACTCTGGGAAGAGGCTGCCGGTGCTGCCGGGATGGGGACCTGCAGCTGACAAAGGGGTCTCCCCGCTGCAGCTTGCCCATCAGGTGGCAGCTGAGCTTAGCACAAGGATTTCCCCCGGCAAGGATTGCCCCAGCATCTCTGGTGGGGAACGGGAAAGGTGAGAGGAGGCCATTGCTCTCGGATGTGCAGGCAGCCGCAGCTCAAACCCAGGTCTGGACCTGGGAGAGGGGACAGTTGGCTGGCACTGACCCAGCTATGGGTCAAAATAAACTAATCTATCCCAATCATCTTATAATCATCACCGTGGCTGTGCAGCCAAAGTGGATGTGGTCTAAGCAGGGCATCCCTCACGCCACTGCAGGGCCAGGAAGCATGGAGCATGCAGAAAGCCCTTTTCACCCCAGAATTGCCACAGAGGGAGGCTTGAGGCATCTGTCAGGACACCCCCAGAGAAGCCAGGGGTCTCTTGCTGACCCTGATGAATCGAGGCAGCCTGTTCCTTTTTTTCATGGAGGCAACTTCCCTTCAGATGACTCTCAGGCATTGCTGGGGGCCTGGCTGGCCGACTGAACCTCCCTCGACTCTCTGAAATGACATGTCTGAACTGAAAGTAGTTGCATGAGTTTTATTTCCCTGTTTATTTCAAAAACCTTTTTCTTGAAAACCTTCTCAGGACTCAGAGCCTTGCCCGCAAGCGCCAGGCAATTATTACTTGTGCATTATTGTCAAGCGCAGGCTGCAGGGACTGGCTGACAGCGAGGCTCAGTGACAGAGATGAGATCCCCCCCGTCAGCTCAGCTCCAGGCCCCGGGTCTGGCTGGCCGCACACCGCCCCACGCAGCCGCTCCCTCTAACCTCTGC